CATAATTTTATACCTTCAACGACAGATAAAATGTATTATTGGTCATTTTGCTATAAAATGTATTTTTAGTAATTCTATTATCAAATGTATTGTTGGTCATTTTGCTATAAAATGTATTGTTAGTGTGATGGGTTCTTACCTATAACTACAGAATGAACTCTTCCTAACACTATGTATACTACGCCACTCACATAGAGAGAGGGACGAATCGAGTCGAGTCGATAGTAGTTCACTCCAAACCAGACTGACAGTCATACTAACACCTTTCACATCTTGTATTATTGTTTCGTGTAATATACGTTCGTTATTTCTACTCTTGTGTTCGTCTTGTTCTTCCTTGGTCCTAATCTGCACAATTAACAGTGATTCTATTATTAAATGTATTGCTGGTCATTTTGATTTAAAAATGTAGTTATTTTTATATAGAAAAAAATGTATTGTTTGTATTTTTACCATAAAAAATCTATTTTTATACATTCATAGTGTTTTCTTTTTGTTTGGAGGTTCACTATTTGCCCATAGCTGGGACCCTAACAGGTGCTACCACCCCGGGTCAGGGTGGACCTTGCAACAAAAGACTTGGTCCCACGATCCTCCAAACCTCCTGATTAGAAGCCTTACTACCGGTTGTAGTTTATAGTCATGCCCAGCACTTCAGTTCAGTTATGTGTCATGCGGGATACACGCTTAGGCGATCATGTATCTTTCGATACATGACTGACGAGGCAGATTTTTTTTCCAGTAGTTGGTTGCCATTTCTTTCTGCGGTAGACCAGTTACCATCCAAGGCTATAGAACACAGTCTGTCCTGCTATTTACCCATAGCTAGAGGGAGAAGAAGAGGATTCATACCTTTCCCAAGGGTCAGTCAGTCCGTTATGTGACATGCGTTATACACGCTTAGGCGATCATGTATCTTTCGATACATGACTGACGACGCAGATTCTTTTCCCGCAGTAGTTTGCCATTTCTTTCTGTGGTAGACCAGTTACCATCCAAGGCTATAGAACGCAGTCTTCCCTGCTATTTACCCATATCTTTGCAGAGAAGAAGAGGATTAATACCTTTCCCAAGGGCAATAGCACGTAAGTGAATGTAATGGATTCGACTGGAATTCGAACCCGGCTCTCCGATTCCTCAGTCCGAAACGTTAGTGAATCAATAAAATCTGTCGAATCTTTTACATACCAATGAATCGATATGAATTCTATTCTAATATTTTTTTCCCTCGCACTTCTCGCTTGTTGAACTCTCTTCCCGTCTCTTGGTTTCCTGTCAAATACGATCTTCAAAAATTTAAATGCAATGCAAGCCATCATCTACCGTGTCTTGGTACCATGTTCTTTTTTTGTTTCCTTTCTTTCACTTTCAGGGAGTCATCCAGAGAATTCCAGTTTATGGACAATTAAAGCCGACCTTGTAAATATAGATATTCTACTTGTAAATATAGATATTCTACTTGTAAATATAGATATTCTACAATTAAAGCCGACCTAGTAAATATAGATATTCTACTTGTAAATATAGATATTCTACAATTAAAGCCGACCTTGTAAATTTTGATATTCTACTTGTAAATATAGATATTCTACAATTAAAGCCGACCTTGTAAATATGGATATTCTACTTGTAAATATAGATATTCTACTTGTAAATATAGATATTCTACAATTAAAGCTGACCTTGTAAATATAGATATTCTACTTGTAAATATAGATATTCTACTTGTAAATATAGATATTCTACAATTAAAGCCGACCTTGTAAATATAGATATTCTACTTGTAAATATAGATATTCTACTTGTAAATATAGATATTCTACTTGTAAATATAGATATTCTACAATTAAAGCCGACCTTGTAAATATAGATATTCTACTTGTAAATATAGATATTCTACTTGTAAATATAGATATTCTACAATTAAAGCCGACCTTGTAAATATGGATATTCTACTTGTAAATATAGATATTCTACTTGTACATATAGATATTCTAAAATTAAAGCCGACCTTGTAAATATGGATATTCTACTTGTAAATATAGATATTCTACTTGTAAATATAGATATTCTACAATTAAAGCCGACCTTGTAAATATGGATATTCTACTTGTAAATATAGATATTCTACTTGTAAATATAGATATGCTACAATTAAAGCCGACCTTGTAAATATAGATATTCTACTTGTAAATATAGATATTCTACTTGTAAATATAGATATTCTACAATTAAAGCCGGCCTTGTAAATATAGATATTCTACTTGTAAATATAGATATTCTACAATTAAAGCCGACCTTGTAAATATAGATTTTCTATTTGTAAATATAGATATTCTACTATTTCCCAAACTATCCACTAGAGAACTTAACATCGGACAGGTGCAGAGTGAGTCAACATTAGAGATTGCTCATGCAATAAATCTTTCGTGTAAGAATAAAAAAAGATATGCTTAAAAATGTTGAAATATATAGCAACAATTATTTACAATTGACAATTTGATGACATTCACGAAATGTATTTTTCGTACGCCCGTCTGTCATCTCATAACTCAAGGACAGCGAGAGTTATGGCCACGAAATGTCCTCTGATTATTAATAGTAGACTGAAGCATAAATTTGGCGTATTATAAAAATGCAAAAAAAAAAAAAAAAATTACGTTTAACTTTTTTTAGCCCCAGTTTCGAATTAATGTGTAAGCATAAGAGTAAAGCGGACAAAATAGTCGAAGAAGATGTTTATTTTTTATTTGTGTGTCAGCATATATATTTAACGTGAAAATATCAAGATAGTAAGTCTTCATTTAAATGAAATAAGAAAATAATGCTAAAAAGGAAAGGCTGTTAAAAATTTTTGCCGACTTTATGCTGGTTTCGTGTTAGTTATTGATATCAGATGAAGAAAATGTAATGCAGTGTTCAAATTAATATCGACCAACGTTAATTTTTGTGAGGGTAACAAGGTAGGAATTGGAGAGACAGATGGGGTAACAGATGAATTCCTAATAGAAAAATCATTTCCAATGTATTCCTAATAATAAAATCATTTCGAATGCATTCCTAATAATAAAATCATTTCCAATGCATTCCTAATAATAAAACCATTTCCAATGAATTCCTAATAGTAAAACCATTTCCAATGAATTCCTAATAATAAAATCATTTCCAATGCATTCCTAATAGAAAAATTATCTACAATGTATTCCTAATAGTAAAATCATTTCCAATGCATTCCTAATAGCAAAATCATTTCCAATGAATTCCTAATAATAAAATCATTTCCAATGAATTCCTAATAGTAAAATCATTTACAAAGCATTCCTAATAGTAAAATCATTTCCATTGCATTCCTGATAATAAAATCATTTCCAATGCATTCCTAATAGAAAAATTATCTACAATGTATTCCTAATAGTAAAATCATTTCCTATGCATTCCTAATAGTAAAATCATTTCCAATGCATTCCTAATAGTAAAATCCATTTCTATGCATTCCTAATAATAAAATCATTTCCAATGAATTCTTCATAGTAAAATCATTTCCTATGCATTCCTAATAATAAAATCATTTCGAATGCAGTCCTAATAATAAAATCCTTTCCAATGCATTCCTAATATTAAAATAATTTCCAATGAATTCTTAATAGTAATATCATTTCCTATGCATTCCTAATAGTAAAATCATTTCCAATGTATTCCTAATAGAAAAATCATTTCCAATCAATTCTTAATAGTAATATCATTTCCTATGCATTCCTAATAGTAAAATCATTTCGAATACTGTCCTAATAATAAAATCATTTCCGATGAATTCCTAATAATAAAATCATTTCCAATTCATTCCTAATAATAAAATCATTTCCAATTCACTCCTAATAATAAAACCATTTCCAATGCATTCCTAATAGTAAAATTATTTCCAATGAATTCCTAATAGTAAAATCATTTCCCATGCATTCCTGTAATAAAGCAAATAGCGAATTGTGTTTTTTAGAGTAGTCGTCCAAACACCGGTTAACTGCCAGCCTACTTGAACTTTGTAAAATGGTAAATATTACGGATGTTCTTATAGTCGGTGTAATGATAAATGTACGCAAGTGTAGGCTTTAAGAAAGCTTTATTCGACTGAGAATACGAGGTTCTCGTATATTGTCCTTCTATAGTCCCAGTAAATAGAAATACCTCTCTCAAAGAAGAGAGTAACAAAACAAGGTGAGACTTGATTATTCATAACAGTTGGTTCACACATTTTGATAATTTTAAGTCTTTTTAAACGTGTGGATAAAAAATTATTTTCACATTTATTTCTTTATAAATTGGTTAATGATAAAAACTGAATTGTATTATTTTTTTAGACTGATGGAAGTATGAAATTATTCTTGAAAATAAAAAATCTGCGAAACAACCGTTTTTCAAATCTTTGCTTTAAATTCTCAAGAACAAAGAAAATGTATTAATAAATTAATTTTCATATGTTAAGGTTTCATTAAAATTCTAATCATCGCCTTTCAGAACTATAAACATTACCGGGGAGTGAAGGCAGTTAAAATAAAAGCGGTGTCACAGGGAAAACGCCTCTTTTTATAGACCGGACACGATTGTTAAACATTGCTCAGAATTCAACTCATTGTCGATTCCTAAACATATCGCAAGTCGAGTATTGTCTTTACACATTCCTTTGTTCGTGATAATGCCACCACAACATTTTATATCACGCTGGGATTTTACAAAGCATAATTTCAGTCAACCATGAGTTGCTAAAGCTGTTTTATTGAAATCCTTAGGACGGGATTCAGAAAACTCGTGTCAGGATTTAGACAACGCCTATAAAATAACAACAAAAAAACTTACTGATACGACAAACATTTCAGATGATGTACTCTGTAACTCCGGCTGGGATTAGGCTCGTCTCTGTGATGGATTCCCAAACTTAGACCATCCGAATGGTTATGCCTTCTAAATTGGACACACTGAAAAGCCACAAGTGGTAGGCAGTCATAATGGCTACCATATGTCAGCGCGATTACGAGTTGAAACCATGCAGCAGAAGTAGGAACGAAATTCAAATAAGAAAGAAAAATGTGGGAGTAATTAAAACACGTGGGGCAAATAAAAGTGAGTAACAAAGATATATATATATATATATATATATATATATATATATATATATATATATATATATATATGGGGAAAGAGAGAGAAGGGAAGGGAGGTCAAATGAGACAGAGAAGAAAAAAATGAGGATTTACGATGGGTTACTAAAAAAATAAAAGATAAATATCATGACATCATCTGTATCCAATATGTCGTAAGTTTTACGATCATTAAGCCTGAAGTCTTAAAGAAATTGCAAACAAAAAGGACATTTATACTTAGCACCAGAAAGAGACAGTTGAAATTTCTAGTGTACATAATGAGGAAAAAGGGCTTGGAAACTTTGACACTCACATGGCATATTGAAAGGCAAGAGGGACGAATTAAAAACAGCGCATTACCTACCCAACGAGCTACTTTTGACAGAACAGGGTTTAGGAGAAATGACAAATTTTACTAAAGACTTCAAAGGACAAGAAGTTGTGGAGAGCCATAATTACCCAGTGCCTGAAGGCACAGGGCACATACATGAGGAAGCCTGAACAAAAAATCGGTGAACCGAGTTCGAATTCCGGTCGAATTCGTTGAATTCACTTTCGCACTATTGCCCTTGGGAAAGGTATGAATCCATCTCTTCTGCTATATAATAAATGCTAATGCCTATGCATCCCGTTTTTTCAATTAAAGGGACACAACTGTCTAACTTTCAATAGCTCATATTACAGAAATTTCTGATTCCCAAATTTTTATTACTGCGGTTGCTTTCGGATTCCGCCATCTTGGCTTCTACAGATAAAAAAAAAACAGTTAAAAGGACGCAACTCTCTAACTTTCAATCGTTTATGTTCAAATGAAAATATTATTGTTCTCAAATTACAAAATACAATTGTCCGTGTTTTTAACTTTACTCCTAAAGGCCGTAACCCAATATATCATATCATTTTGGAATCAGACGGACTCTGTGAGCAAATTAAAAACATTCCAGGTCGGATCCAGACCTGCAATCCTGAAATTTTGGATTCCCAATTGTTCATTATGGCGATTGTTTTCGGCGATTTTTTTACGTGTTTTTTTGCGACGAATTTTTTGTATCATAACGATTTTTATAACTTTTATAAATTTGGAAATAATCGGAATTAATTGCAAAATCCAGCGAAAGTCAGCCATGAAATAAAAAATAATTGTTTGTACGGAAAGTAAGGACCTACGCACATCAAATTGTCTTTAAATTAAGTGGCAGCAGAAGATTTATTGTTGAACTTTTAAAAGGTAAGCTTAAATATTAATGCAATACTTAAATGCAGCGATCAATTTTGAGTTCTGTAGTTTATTATTGCCTATCGCATACAGCAGCATTTTGACTCTCAAAAGGAAATCATCACCAACAAAGGACCAGATTGCAATCAAATGAGGCATGGCAGCTGCAAGGAAAAGAAAGTCCTGTGTTAATGAAAACCCAGATCAAACGGCAGCCAGGAGAACTTCCATTGCTAAGAATATGCAAAGACTTAGGGACTCTCAAACTTCTGAACAAGTCGAAGACCCAGTCAAGAGCCCTCCGCAGGAACTAGCTTAATTGTCGCCCGATATGACAGCTTTTAAGCTAGCTTATATAGCTAGCTTAAAGGCTGCCATATCGGGCAAAGAGAAAAGTGACAGTGTTGCTGTCTCCTTTCAATGTAAAAATTATACTTGACCTCGAGTGTCGAATAATTCTCACAATAGTTTAATTCACACGGTAGATGAAACCGTAAGTTCTATGTTAACAGCTTCTTTTCTCGCACTTCTCGCTTGTGGAACTTTCTTTCGACTCCATGCTTTCCAGCCATCTTTAATCGCATCAATATTTGATTGAATCATTCATTCATTTTCTACGGCTTATCAACCCTTTGTTGATGATTAGCTACCCAGGCATGTCTTTTAGATTTATTTACATTCTCTGGAATAGAAATGTATAGAAACTACCGTGGCCACAAAGTGAGGGATCAGTTTATATGGTGATTATACTATAGAATTGATCCCCCACTTTATATCAACATTATTATCTCCCAAATAAATCTTACAATCTAAAAATATTTTCTGGCTTTAAATAACCTACAAAGGGTTGATAAGCCGTAAGAAATGAAACAATCAATGAAATACTGTTTAGCTACCCAGACATGTCTTTTAGATGTATTTACATTCTCTGGAATATAAATGTATAGAAAATATCGTGGCCATAAAATGAAGGATCAGTTAATAAATTGAGTGTAGCACAGAATTGATCCCCCACTTTATATCCACATTATAATTGCTTTTTTGTTTATCAAGCTCTGATTAGGTATGAATTCACCTCTTCTCCCCTCCAGCTATGGATTAATTAGTAAGACTTGTATCACTAAATCATTATCATCTAAAAAAAACTTATAATCTCTATATATTTCCTGGCTTTATATATATTACCTGCAAAGGGTTGGTAAGCCGTAAAAAACAAATCAGTCAATCCATTTTATTATTGCTTTTTACACTCACACACTGGGTTGATACACTTTTCACTTGTTAAATTATTCTATTAATAGTTTTATTCTGTCTTTTAGACGTATTTAAATTCGCTGGAATATAAATGTATAGAAACTGCTGCGGCCACAAAGTGAGGGAACAGTTTATACATGGATCGTAATATAGAACTGATCCCCCTCTTTATATTCTCTTTATAACTTCTTGTTTGTTTATTAAACTCTAATTAGGTATGAATCCACCTCTTCTCCCCTCCAGCTATGGGTTAATTAGTGAGACATATCACTCAAACCATTATCTCCCCTAACGAAAAAAAATTCTTACAGTCTAAAAATATTTTCTGGCTTTAAATAACCTGCAAAGGATTGATAAGTCATAGAAAATAAATCACTTGATTAATCAAATACAAATTAGCTACACGGCGATGTCGTTTACATTTATTTACACTCTCTGGAATATAAATGTATAGAAAGTGACGTGGCCATAAAATGAGGGATCATTTTATATAATGATTGGAATATAGAATTAATCTCCCACTTTATAACCACATTATAATTTCTTGTAATAATTATAACCAATCAGAAAGTTGAATCAGAAAGTTGCCAGCTATAATTTCAGATATACGGAATGAAGAAATAGTGCTAGGAGAATTTGACACACACAGGACATTAATTTTTTTTTAAACTAATTTCACAAAAGAACTCTTCCATGATGAAACTTTCTTCGAAAAACAAAACAAAGAAACAGGAAAGTTTTGTTAGAAACAAAGAAAAACGGGCTCCACTGCTATGTAATATAAGTCCTACTTGAGGCTACGGAAATATGGTTCTACAGAAGGATGCTGAGGATACCGTAGGTCCAATATGTGAGCAATGAGGAAGTTTTAAGGAAAACTTGACCGAAAAAAAAAACAACCCCCCCCCCAAAAAAAACAAAACACTTTTATGTATATAAATGAAGCGTAGTGTACGTGTGTCCGTCCTTCCGTCCGTTTTTCGATCTCGTCGAATCATTATCAACCTGAACTAACAGGTAGTAACTACTGTAGTTACACGCGATTAAAAATTAAATAAATAACTCATTTAAAGTTAAATTTAAATATCGAACTGAGTGAAAGGTTTAAAAAAACAATTCTTTATTAAAGGAAAACTTTAATTTGAAACTTTAATTTCGCTTTCTGTCGCAACTGCAATTTATATCGTCTAATTAAGCCGTAATTTAAACTTAAGCGGGGCACGGTACGTTGCTCATGTGTTTTTTCTTCTTTTTCTAGCAGGCGTACTGTGACGTATTCGAAATATTACATAGTTCAGCTTCCCTAATGTCTTTTAAGAGTGACTTCATGTGAAGAGACCATAAAGGAAATAAAAATTGCGCGCAAAATAAACGTAAGCAAACTACGGAGATCGATTGCGTATACGAAGAAAGATTATGCCGAATTAAGGTGTCGAATAAAAATAAAATAATTTTATTATTTCTAAATTCTTATAACTTTTACGTACATAAGACGCTGACGGTAAAAGGCTTCTAGGCTAATTTAGAAAAGACGGTTTAAATTTTCTTGGTTCTTCGAAAAAAAAAAGAGGACTTGGAGAATTCAATACTCAGGAGACAGCGGGTAACCTTTTCAACGAACTTGTGTTTATGGACGGAAGAAAACAGGGACTTGGCGGGATAGCAAGAGTGCAAATATTGCTTACAGCTACAAAAGGCTAGGAAGTTGTGGAGAGTCATGATCGCCGACATCGCCAAGTTCCAAGGCGCATCACAGAAAATGACTGTACCGGTATTCGGCCAGCGCAATTAATATAAGTGCGGGAGGCTGAACTAGTGAGCCGGTTTCAAATTCCAGACTAGTCTCTTGCATTCACTTTCTCACTGAATGAATCCATCTCTTCTCGCGGGACAGACCGGGTTTTATAGCCTTGGATGGCAACTGGTCTACCGCAGAAAGAAATGGCAACCTACTTCGGAAACAAATCTGCCTTGTCAGTCATGTATCGAAAGATACATGATCGCCTAAGCGTGTATCACGCATGGCACACATGATTGACTGACTGACTTACGTGCTAATACCCTTGGAAAAGGTATGATTCCTCTTCTTCTCCCCCAGCTATGGGTAAATAGCAGGACAGACCGGGTTCTATAGCCTTTGATGGAAACCGGTCTACAGCAGAAAGAAATGGAACCCTATTTCGAGAAAAAATCTGCCTTGTCAGTCATGTATCGAAAGATACATGATCGCCTAACCGTGTATTACGTATGGCACCTAACTGACTGATATCATTATATATCCTTTCCTTTCCTTATATATATATATATATTATAAATTAATTGATTTAAAATATGTTTTTTTCGCTACACAGTTCCAACCATGTTTCAAAAATAGAAGCTAAAACCCTGAGTTTAATTTTGCAATTAAATTAAAAGCATTAGTTCCATTTCATCTTCAAGCGAAT